ATTGCAGCAGCTCTGTATGCTACGTCTAACTTTATTGAATATCCATTTTGTTCACATGGAAACTGTCTACATCTCATGGACATTTTTCCTTTTCTCATAATTTATATGCATTATTTGTGGATGGAAGTTGATAGACAATACGACCATACAAAACTTGTTACATTTTTGTCTTGCAGCAAGTCGCAGTCTTTGACAAATGCCTTCAGTTTCACAGAATCGTCCTTCTTCCGATCATCTGTGAATGAAGACGAAGCAAAAGCTGAAACCATTCGAAACTTGAGGAAATCTTTTGCTAGTCTTTTTTCTGATTAGCCTGCTTCATCTAAATGCACATAGCATATAGTCTAAAAACTCCGTGAATGTTACATAGGTTTTGTTTTCCCTGTGACAGTATCCTTATCTCCTGTGCTAACTGTTGTATTAAGCAATATGTTAAACTTACACAAAACCAGAAGAAGGACTTTGTTGAGATTCCATTCAGGAACATGTATAGAGGTAAAGAAAGAAGAGTTCTATTACTAACACAGAATGCCAAATTCTGTGGTCCTTATCCATTGTAATATTGTGGCCTTACTGTGACTGAACTATATAATCCTATTTGAGACTCCTTTGTAGAACTGTGTTAATAAAGCATTGAGTTATGGGTTTCTTCTTACTTTACCCATTTCCAATGCATTGCAATGCATGTGTATTTTGTGCGTAAATGTTTTGTACTGCAGGAGTATAGTCTTGGTTTGTTCTTGCCTCTCAAATTTAGGAGGCAATTCACACTGACGTTCTTGTCAAGCTGCATAAATAGTGTGAGAAGGTGAAGCAGTTTCTTCTTCCTTATACAATCTTTCCATCAGCTGATTGTAGACTTCTGATGTATTGCTGACAGTTATCAGTACACAAATTAATGTCCTAAGTAGAGTATATATGTACTACTGTATCTCTGTGTCTATTTAAATTTATTTCCAAATTGTAACCATAACTGGTTTTAGTTGCAAAGAATATGCATGATGTTACCCTTATTTTTGTGAACACCTTCTAATAAATGTAAAGTCCCAGCCTGATTTAAAAAATGTCTTTGACAAAGCTTGTTTCAACACCAGTATGTATTGTTTATTTTAACTGATATCAGAAGGGTACCTTTGTGATTATAAAACATTGGACATAAGACACAACTGGAGAAAATAGACTATCAGAAATAATTCCCTTTTAGATGGGCATCAAAAATATACCTTTTAGGAAACACATTTATATTTTCTAATAAGTCATGTATTTTATAAATAACTTGTGAAAACAGAATTGATCTCAGACTTTGGGGTAATAGCAGCATATATTTTTTATTATCTAAATGAAAGTGAAGTTGATTAGTAATCTCTAGACTATCCCTTTTCAAATGAAAACCATGCCATTCTGCCTATCATGAATTATATGCAGCAGTATTCCTTGCTAGGAAAGAGTGCTAGCAGGAGAAACAAGAGAAAATAAGTGCTCTATTAGCATATTCAAGGGAGAAAGCAAGCAGCACAAGTTTACATTTAAACCCTATGGAATTTGTAGTGGGTTTGTAGAAAGTCATCTAGTTGTCTCAGACATTGTACTTTCTGTACTAACACATACACAAGTGTTAGCTTATGAAGTATAGGTAAATCACAATAACCCTTTGAAGGCATACGTCCTTTCAGCAGTTTTGGATTCCTTTGGATGAAGAGTCTGGCTTAGGCCAAGAGGTTGGCAATGAAGCATGGAAAGTTTCACCTCCAGTGATGTCAGAATTAAGTTCGTACATTAGTATCTGATAACTCTCTGTCAACATGGTCTAAGTTGATGATCTTAGCATATATATTTCCTGAAAAGCAGGCATGTCTAAATCACAGGCAACACAACTGATATGCTTTTTGGATTGATAGCGAGGACTGACTCAATATTGCAGTTGCCCAGAATAATGCTTTCCTCCAGGTTAAGACTAAAATGAATCTAGGGTCAAGACTGCAGCACAACATTACAGACTATAAATGCATAGCACTGCTCTCTGTAGGATGGAATATCAGTCTCTGCGTTTGGCACATAACCCCCAAATTTGTGGAACGGCCCTCAGAGAAGCCCCCTTACAAAATTAAAGACAACTCTTTCTCTCTCTCTCTCTCTCTCTTTTTTTTTTTTTCCCCCTGGAAAAAATGCACCGTGTACACAAGTCTATAGTTTAGACCATGAATTCTGTGGCAAAAGAGTACACCAGAACTATTAGCAGTTTCTATTAATTGATAAATTCATACAAGCAAATGGATTTGTTTTTAGTTTTGTCCCCTTCCTGCCCCCCACTGCATTGAAACACCGTTCACTGGGCTGCAATAACAACCCTGAGTAGTTATATAGCCTTTCATGTCTGAGAAGCACTTTACTTTTAGATTAGAAAGATTAATCAAAGTTGCTAACGCAAATTAATTACTGCTACAGAGAAGGCATAGTAATTATGCATAGTTTGGCATGGTTCATGATTAGTACATGCCTAGTTTCAGCAGTATTTAGTACAATATGAATTACGGGTAGTTCATTAGTCCAGGCCCCAGATTTCGACTTGAGGCAAAGTTTCTTGCTCATATAAAATTCCCTCCCACCTCTTCCTGGGAGAAAACGGGTTTCACTACAGTCTTTGTTTTACCATCTGGAACAAAAAAAAGAAAGAAAAGAAAATAAAAGAAAAGAAAAAAGAGAGCAAGATGATGCAATCAAATCTGCATGGTGTATCCTCCCACACAATGTACATAACACATTGCCTCTCCACAATGCCAAAACTTCTTTATACCTCCAAGCGTGCTAAAGCGTGTCACATTCAAGCCGATGCATGCTTGTGTTTCTTATGCACTGTTTCATGGTTAAGACATTTTTAAGCAATCTATAGAACATCTCCAAAATACCCATCAGAAAAAGAATTTTTATGAAAAGTCTATTCAAATATTTATTGTCCATTTTGTCTGACTTCATTAAATAAATTGTACTTTAAATTCATGTGCAAGCTCTAAATACTCAGTCATCCAATACAATGCTATCTAGGTTTGCATAAGTGGTTACACAGAAATAATCGGAGTGTCTGTGGTTCAGCTTTCTGAACATTAGCCTAGGTACCCGAGGTCTGTACTTCATATGCACCTTTTCTATGGAGATACAGATTATGATGCTATAGGTCAGTATGCACAGTACTCCATCCTTTTATTCATCTTTCACTTACAAATCGATATAATATGAATTCTATAGAGATATTTATCAAGCTTAGTCTTAAGATTGAGATGGAGTCATTTTTTGACCATTAGGCCTGCAGCCAATTCAAAGGATTGAAGCAGATTTCAAGAGATTGTAATTATGGATGAAGAGACTAAACTAGGTTTGAAACCACCACTAACTCTCCAATAAAAAATAGTCAAATAGTACTAATGTACTTTGTAAATATTGCGTGTACTTTGTATACTTCCTCCTCTGCAAGAACAAAGTCACTTCGCTGAGCCAATGTTGTCTCAATGAACAGATCACATACAATGAAACTGCTATTTACAAAACTGAAAAAGTCATTGTATATTGTCTATGCGTTGACATGGTTGTTGCCAGTATTTTGCTGAATACTATAAATAAATATCCCAGCAAGTTGTCCATCAACAACAGCTTCCAGTGAGGTTGGGTAAGATGCTGAATATATCCAACAGAGCTACCTAATGCCTTTTCAGACTGCCAGTCATGACGCCTTTTTAGTAACCGAGATAGCCACGCAGGGGCTGGATATGATACAGATATGATACAGGATTTGTGGGAGACCTGGGCTATTCTAAAATGGCACTTGGAGGCCAGGCAGGATATATAGTTTGATTTAAAATGGCACTATTTGCCTGTGTTTGGGACAGAGATTCCCCTTAAATCTGGCTACTCAGCTATCTCACGCTGTGTAATCATTCAGGTGTGGGGTAAGAGCCACCTTAACTGAGCTCTGCCTTTCTTCTCCCCTGACTAAACAAAGCCATCTAGCAAGCCGGTGCTGTAATCATTTGAAAAATTTGATCACTAATAGAGTTTATCTTTCCATACCAAAAATAACTAGAAGTGAATGACTCAGAGGAGTTTAAGAAAGATTATCTAAATTGTCACGAATGCCAGCACAAATGAAATTAAGTTCAGAGTGAGAATACGTCTCCAATATGGAAATGCTTTTTATTAGACATGTATTTCTAAACAAACTTTTTTTTTTCTTTCTTCTTTCTAGATGATTTTAAAATCCTGTGTGAGATGTTTCAAAATAGGTAGCTAAAATTAGTTTTCCAAATGCATGGTCAGTTCTGCAAATAAGCAACCAAATTTGCAAAATCACGTTTTCCTCATTTCCTCTAATTCCTCCTCATTTTCTAAGGAAGCATGTTGCACCTCAAGATAATAGTTTATATTAACGTTTGTGAAGCATTGATTGGGACATCTGTAGTTACATTCTTGCACCTCAAAAATTAATTTAAGAACAAATGCAAATAAAATTAAGAAAAACAAAAAAAAAATAAAATAATGTCTAGTGCATCAAGTGAGTTCTTTAAACTTAAAATGAGACAAGAAGAACAACAGAAAGACTTTCCCCCTGTTAAACTTTAAGATAGGCCAGGAGTAAAAAAGACATGTTTGTGTGTTTGTTTGTTTCATTTTTATTTTTTTTTCCCGCAGATCATGTTACTAAGAGTTAGAAAAAAATCCAATTAAAAAAAAAAGTCTCTCTCTCTCTCTCTTTTTTTCTCTCTTTTCTTTTTTTTTTTTTGTTTGTTAGTTTGTTTTTGTTTTTGTTTTCACTAGGACTGGAGTTTTGACTTATGTTAGTAGTGGCAATACTCAAAACATCCAAGGGTGGATGTGGTATTTAAAAAATAATGTACTTTATGTTACATGACAGCTAAGTTTTCCAGTACAAGATATGCACTGTACTGGGAGAAGATACCTGGCTTTATGGCTAAATCTCTGCTTTGTACAAGTGATGGTAACAGAAAATAAGTAAAATGCAAGATCAATCGACAAGACTGAGAAAGGATTAACTGGGAGCTTAACTCCTCACATGTGGTATTTGTTAGCATTTACTCTTCCTCCTAACCATTCCTATTTCATTCACATATGCCTGTTCTTCTCACAATTGCAATCAGCCAAATTTACCATAAGGATTTATAAGCTCTGTAGAGTATCTGAATTTTTAAGGGCAAATCTTTGAATTGTTTTCGTCTTCTGCTGCTGCTCTATGCTTCCTAACACTGTGAAGACAGATGGAGAAAGTAATAGAAGATGGAAAGCTGACTGATCTTCACTTACTTTCTTAACTAAGAGAGAAGCTCTGGTAAAAGGTAATGTAGATTTTAAAAGTATGTGGACAGGCAGTACAAAAGAACTTTTTTCTATCCAGATGAGAGACAAGAAAAAACAAACAAAACCAGTAGTGCATACAGGCAAGCAGCTAGCCATTTTCTAATTTGGGAGCTACTTATCAAAAGTCTGTTACAAATATTTGAGTAATGAGCATTTTTTCCAGAGATAATCTAGTACAGGGTCTTAAAATTATACAGATAAATCTCTTCCATTAGTTACAGGATTACTGAAGTTATGAAGAAACATTAGACAGTACGTTAGACACATGAAACTAAAATTAATGAGAGCTGTACTTCATTAGTATGCCATGTTCCCTTCTGAGGCTGTAGCAAAACCTAAAGTGTGTTTTTGATTTTCCTGTAATTCATAACAGTGAAGATGATCACCAAAAGAATAAACATGGTCTGTGGAGTCAGACTTTCAGTAGTTCTACTCCTAAGGAAAAGCTAATGCTATTTTTCCCTCATCCATCAGGTACTTCACATAATTCTGCCACCTAACTCTCCTGAAGCTTTGTTTGAGGGAACTGGAGCTATTGGGCAAATGCTTCTCAGTTAATCAGAAGGAGATATCAATGCAATAATATATTTATCTCATTCCTACCCACTGTAATAAAATAGGAACATCTCGCATCTTCACATAATGTGCCGCTCCCCTTAAAGTTATGAGGAGCTTTAGCAAAAAGGGAACGCATCCTTTCACTAAGTATTTGCAGAATGCCATACACTAACACCTCACTTGATAAGTGTGCTCTGACTGGGGATACCATGTACGAGTCTCAAACTGATGATTATGCAAATCTTACAGATAGGCCCTTTAACGAGTAGATTACTATCCCAACTACTTTTGCTATCACTGAGTCCTTCATAGTTCTGGATAGTTCAAGCCAAACTCCTATTATCTTTGCTGTTTTGCACATTTTTCTTTCTTTGCAATAATAATAGTGTTCTGAGAATGAATATATCTCTAGGCATGTTTATCCCCATGTGTTTTTTCAGTCATGCAGAGCTTGGGACTACATATTCCACTGGCTTCGTGTGAAATGTGGCGTGCTACTTAAGAGACTGCCAATAGAACCAGGCCACAGATTAATTCTACTGCCAAGGTGCTGTATCAGTTTACTCTCCATGTAAGATCTGTCCTGCATGGTAGATCCACCAAACATTTGTAAGTGTGAGGCATTATAGCTTAAAAAGTAGGAAATTCTCCTTTCCTCCAGTCTCCTCATGGGGAAAAGGAGATTAGTTGTCTCCATCCACCAGCTGAACCAGACCTAATTGCTACATAGAAATGACAGTAAATCAGACTGTAAATCAGTGCTGAACTGCATTAGTTGGCTGTTTGTCTTGGTGACAATTTAAATATATTAATTAGCAATGTGTGCTGTATGATTCATCTTAAGACTCCTAGGAAACTGGTAGTGTTTCCATATAGAACAGAGTCCACCTCAGACACTTACTACAGAATCCCAACCAGCTATTTATCTTTTAGCAATCTTGAAAATGGGTGTTGCTAGCCACATCCACTGCTATTTACTGTAAAGAAGTCTTTTCTCATTGCTTGATGGAATTGTAACAAATTTGGGTATATGGAAGAGGCCTGTAATTTAAAGGCCTCTGCCCCACCTGTTATGGGAATGTCTCTGAACTGGGATCAAGGAAGCATTCTTTTTCTTATTTAGATGTTTTTTTCTGTTTGCAAGTCATGACTTAATCTATTGAAAACTGAAATGATTGTTTTAAAATTACAATGTATCAATCTCTTCTACCCTTAAATTCTAGTTCACTGAGAGGTGACCACCACTCTATAATATATATTCATTTACTCAGCTTTGTTCTACAGTACATTTTTAAAGACATTAGCATTTTTCACACCTTTTTTTTTTTTTTTTTTTTTCTCTTTTTACTAGAAAGGGAAAGCATGTGCATTGACTCTGAGCCATACAGAGCTGATGTAATTTCATGGCAAGAAGACTCCTGCTGCCCTTAAGAATGTTAGTACAAGTTCTGAACTGACTTACCCTCCTCTGGAATAATTATGCATTCCACTCTGGCACATTTTATCATGCAATTCTCCTGCTTTGTAGATTACATGTCTTGAGGAGGTACAAAAGGGAAGAGCAAAGACTGTTTTATTTCTATACATGCATCTAACAATTATATATATACACACATACACACCTCAAATAGTACTTTTAAATGTAAAATTATGTGAGAATTTACTTTACAGACTTACTTAATATGTACATTAAATACAGGTATCCTTTCATGCATCAAGGAGATGCAAGCATCTCTTGGGAGGAACACACAAAGTATGGGGAAAATACATTGTTAAATTATAATTGAACAAGCTGGAACTTGTTCACGTTAAACAGCCCACCCTCAAACTGCAAAAAGCCAAATTACGCCCTCAGCAACTTCTGAAAAGCAAACTGCCTTCAGTGGATTTCTGCAAATTTAACTGTCTAGAGCCTATAGCCACATCAGAATAAGTCTCACTGATCTCGGAGATTAAGCAGTCCCCAGCCTAGTAAGTATTTGGATATGAGACCACTTGGCAATTCCACATAGTATTAGATGTTAGCACAGGATACATTTATAATTGAGAGCTTGGGTGTGAGGGGGTGTTCACAACATCAGACTTACAGATATCATAAATGAACCTTCCAAAGAGGCATTAGGAGGAATTTAATAGCTTACATCTCTCTGACTACAGCAAAAGCCTAAAATAGGTTAAAAACAAACAAACAAAAATTTGGAGGCTTATCTTAAGTGGTCTGAGTTCTCTTTGCTAATAGCAGATAGTAAAATCAGAATGAATGAAAAGACTGAATTCGTTTATCTGTTCTGAAAAATAGAGAATAAAGTATGGTTATGTTCACGAAAGATTATAGACCGGATCACTTTTTAGACTGAAAGACGTAAATACATATGTTACCAGAGTCAGCAGAAGCATACTGGGAAATAGATATGCTGCATAAAACTACTAGGGCCCTTGTTCTTCAGGATAAAGCCAGAAAGAGGAGACTTTACCATCCTTAGAGTCACTCTTTCAGATATTACAGTGTATTTCCTTGAGGTTTGTGTTTCAAATCAACATTTCTTTTTGACTTACAGGATGTCACACGTGAAACTTTGAAGAGGTTCAAGTGCTAGGAACTCTCTTTATGCAGTGTTCCATAAGAGATCATATTTCATCCCCTGAAACTCTAATTTGGTTATTAAAAATATCTACCTTGTTGAACAAAGCAAATAATTTTCCTTACTAAGTATTTATCTGGACTGATTGGTCAGTAATATTGATTTGGAAAGTCTGCGTTTCTAGTGGATATGGAATATATATAAATATATGTAACTAAAAAGTTTAAAAAAAGACCCACCGGTATTTTCAGTTCTCATCTAATTCAGAACTTCAGGAAAACTAACAAGACAGAATAGTAGCAGAATGGAGTAACTAAGACTGCTGGACCTATCTATATATATGAACTATACCTAAAACTTACAATCCTTCCTACTGTCTGCACACAAGTCTTCCTTTTTGGAAGTTGCCAGCTTCATGTTCAAACCAAAAGCAAATTTTCTACAAATGGATCAGATTTATGATGTGGGGTAGGGGGGGAAATACACAGGGCATCACAGAGGCCACATAGACAAAATGCAGTTATTCTTTATTTTTACGCCTATTCTCCCCACTACCAAATTGAAGCCTGTGTTATATTTTTTTTCACTTTTTTTAAAGTCAAATTTTCCATTAAACTGAAAAATAATGTGTGAAGTTGTTAAATGATACTGATGCTTTTTGTTCTCCCTCACACATATGGCTAGCTGAGAATACATAGCAAGTCCAAGCTTGAAATGAATTTTTTTAAGCAACCAGTATATAACACTAAACATGATTTAATAATGGAAAGACTGGCACAACCTTAAAGGAATATCATCAAGTAGGCAAGGTATGCTTGTGACTTATTATAAAACAGTTAAATCAAGTAGGAAGCATAATCCAGATTCTTTACATAATTATGGCAGAAGGGTGTGGAAGAAGGAATATCAATTACTTCTTAAAGTGGAGATATAACAGCAAAATAAGCTATACATTGATCTCCCATTTCTCTCAACTGTCTTGAAAATGGCCTGTAATACTTCAGTTAATGTTATAGGCAGCTTAATGTTTTGGGAACACTGGGCTTACTCTGTTGCAGAAGTTAGTAAAAAAATTTTATTGCAATTGTTACCAGGTAAAGCTTAACATCCCTAGGATAGTATTGTCTCTCCTTAATCAAACTGATCACAGAAAAAATGAAACAGAACTGGTAGTCCTTGTTTTAACTTTAAATTAGTCACAAAGAGAAATTGCTTGGTAATAATAGTGGAAAGATACTATTCAAAGTTATGTATGGTATTGTAGAAGTGATTGAAAACACTGAAGACAGTTTTATTTATGAAGAATTTATTTTATGGGGTTTGCATTTAAGTTAAAGCTCATATAATTTCTGCTACAATTAAAAACAGATTCTGTGTCAAATGGCACACAACGAGGACTTCTGACTAGTGTTGAGAATGAGATACACATACACATAAAAACATGTTAATAATATCCTGCATTTTAAAAGTACTTTCTTTCTGGATCTCTTTGTGTAAGCCACCACCATGGTAAAAGACTGAAATTTCCTTAGAATTTTGTCCTTTAAAGGCTTTCAAGTTTTACGACATTATTCTTAGAGATTGAGACTAGAAAACAGAAATGTGATTTGTACACACTGGGTTAGGTCTGAGGAATCAACAGTCCTTTACTAAAGCTATTGAAATCAGAGGTGTGTCTGTGATTACCAAAGAGATCTTCCGGTGATAAAAGAAGAATTGCATCAGCTTTTGGCTCAGCGTGTCAGAATGACTCAGCATCTCAGAAGAATGTGTTTCCATTTTCTTTCCGGTTGGAAGATGGTGAGCCTTCGTTGATACTTTCTCTTAAAATGCCATGAAACAGGCAACAGGAGGATGTTAGATTTCTCAGTGGACTAACTTGACAGCCTTTATTCAGAATAGTATAAAACCCATACAGAATTCACTAATACCTTTCTAGCATATATCCTTTCTTTGCAGTAGTAGAAGGAAAAGGTTTGTTTCAACAGCTCTGCAGCTCTCCCATAGTAAGTTACCAGATCATTTCTGCAAGTTTGTACAACTCATGGCACAGGAAATTCTAATTTGGAATTAAAAGTTAATTGTGTGAGCAAACATTCCTGGTAATTCTGGTGATTAATTAGTCCTTTCTTCTATGATTTTAGCCCTCAATCCATAATTTTGTCCTTTCTATACAAATTCAAAGAAAAAAATAGAACATCTCAAGAAATTCTCATTAACCATTGCTCTATATTTTGGGTATTATATCAAAGTACCATGATCATCAAAATGCAATTAACCATATAGTATAGCATTTTCTTTTTATCCTTCATACTGCCAACAGTCAGAGATTGAATAGTGAACTATATAGCTGTTGTTTTGACTCAGCAGGATGTTTCTTGTGCTCTTTTCTTCCCTGTAAGCAATGAGTTTGCATGAAATTAAGGCAGCCCAAGTTAAAGTTAATTTGGCAGAAGTTTCTTCTGAAAACAGAATTATAACTGTGCAAGTCAACAAAGTCAAAAATTGCCAGCAAGACTTGTGAATGCTGAGTAAATTTACCTGGATATTTGATTTTAGTCTGCACTGAATCAGTCAGTCTCAGTTAGAACCAGGCAACTCTATAGCTGTTCCTGGAGAATACTGCTGATTATTTTGAGTACTTCTGCTGCTATCACTGAGGACTAGAGTTAACATCCAATTGCAGGCAGTTTACACTTGTATATAGCCTTTTATCTACACTTCTGCTCTGCTCATACAACTGCAGCGCCCTCTGACAAGCTCAGACCACCACACCTTACTTTCTATTCTGTCCCTGCTCTCTAATATTCAAATCACTTCCTTGACCACTGGCAGGAAGCAATTACAATCTCTGCATACTTTAACAAGATGTTTAAACAAGATATCATGAGACCTAAACTAACTAAATTTCATCATCAGACAATGACAGACCCAGCACTTCCTTTAGGCTCTACTGCGCCTAAAAAGTGGTCTCAAAGAACTGGAAAAATCTAAAAGCTACATCTCCAGTTAGCCTTATTCTTAGAAAAGGAGCCTGAAAAGATCCCTAACAATTACAAACATGTGGGGATAAAATAGACACAGTCAAGAAAAAGAACATATATTTAAATCAATCAATCATTGTCAAATATTATACAGTGTTCCAGAAAGTCTGTTTTTTCTCCTGATATAAGACTATGCATTTTCTAGGTTATATTCATGAAGTTTGAAAGGAAGTTTAAAAAACATTTTTTGAAGTCTGCCATTTCCTTTGCATCAAGTTTAATAAGTCTGAAATAGGCGATGAAATAATGATGAAGTCAAGACTAACTTTTGTGTACAGTTTGCACAATACGGTTCTAAAATACAATCCATCATCTAATCTAGAAAAGCATCTCAATGCCAACTGTGGTTTTCAGCAACATGCCCTTTTGAATCAGCATTGAAAGTAATTTAACAGTGTGACTGATCACCCCCCCCAATTACTTAGTTCCTGACACACAAAGAAGGCTAAGGGATTTTCTGCTTATTTAGTTGATCTTGCTGCAACAGTGCTGAAAGTTGTTTTACAATAATTAAACTAATTTATGTCGTTTTTGTAGGAGTTGGTCATTTCTTGGAACAGACTGAGCTTTGAGAAGACTGGTTTTCTATGTGAAATATTGGCACCCAGTCTGCTGCTACAGTAAGCATCCTCTGTTCACAAAACCCACAACAAAAAGAGTCGACATTTACAGGCCAACTACATTTATTTTTAGCCTTGGTTGATAAGCAAGTCAGGTGTGTACTATCAGAATGACTGAAGCCAGAGAAGGCCATAAAGTTGCAAAATTGCTGCCTAGCACAAGGACATTTCCATTTTAAACAAATGGAAGCATGGGTGGTGTTTTGTTTTGTTTTGTTTTGTTTTTTGTTTTGTGTGTATCAGCATTTCACAGGGTATATTCTTAATGGAAGAAATATTTTACTGGTGAAGATACCAGTAAAAATTTCAAAGCTCAGGAGGAGGAAAACATGTTGATTCAAAAATTAGAAGCCTCCTTTCTGCCCAAAGCACCAGTCACCTTCTCAGAGTTATTTTACCAAAAAATCCTGAAAAGCAGGTAACTGCCAGCTATGACCAACTATGCTGCCTTACAAGAAAAGTGGCGATGAAATGAGCAGCATACCAGAACACTAATACATGTGTTCCATTGTGAAAGATAAAGCACAGGGACCAAACATTGGTTGATAGGAATCAAGAGGATAGGACCCCTTTGAGCGAAACACTGAAAATCAATAGCTGAGCTGTTCCATGCCCCTAGACACCACCTGCAGTGACAGACACCCAGATGGGTATGTGAGTGTGCTTACACTGGATCCCTGTGTGCCACCTTCCAGCGAGCAGAACAGCATTAGCCTTAAGTCTTGGCAAGTCTTTCATGCTTCTGGGTGAGGAAGAGGAGATTCCCAAAAGGAACCACCAACATCAGTAAGAGGTACTTTCTAATCAGGGAAATTTTTTGCAGTCTTATGTACATAGATGTTTAATAGTTTCATGCATCTTACCCCAACATCCTGCTTTTCAGTTACCAAGAGAAAAGAGAGTTCACATCAGTGTCTTGCTTCACAATGCACACAGGACATGTAATCCATACGTGACTCAGTGACCTGTATTCTCTCTCACTCTCACAACATAAGTTTTTGTAACTGTGTACTAAAAATATATATCAAAGACTCACTTCAATGCAAAAGGCCAATTTTCTCTCTTCTGTTAAGCAGATTTG